TCTAGTACTTTGAATGTTTTAGAAAATTATTCGAGATAAAGATGTATGGAACTACTGAAAATTATTTTAGATTCCTTTTCCTTATTCTGTAAATTCTTTGATTGGAATATGAATGCTGCTGGAAGTATGAACATTTTCACAGGACAATGATATAAATGGAACTTTAAAACTTTTTTAAGTGTTACAGTGATATTTCGTTATATGTTCCATAATGTCGATAATATTGATTCCCCCCAACATCCATAATTATTACAAATGTCAATATAACGAAATATCTTTTATGCGATGTACGTGGTGTAATAAAAATCTGTGTTTCGATTACGTTTCTGATACGTATTACTCACTTATATGTAATAATATAGAATAGAAATCCGTGTTAGTGCACTGCGCCGAATGCGGATAGCATGATGTTGTAGTCGCAAGGGAGCAATTGAATCGAATAGACGTATTGTACCGTAGCGCATCGTATTGTATTTCAAACTTTTATATCATTATAATTTATATGTATATATGTATATTCCAATAAACATACGTCAGGTAATATAAGCTTCATTTCATTGAATTGTCTTAAATATAACTGCATAAATATTGTGCAATCCTATACTAATTATAGTTGTCTGGTTCAACAGGTTATGTCATCAGCATAGTTATGTCATCTGCATATGTTAAGGTAAAAATTTTCTGTCTGCCAATGTCCTTCCACCATTCTGCCTTTTCTTTATAAATTCTTCTGTGCCTGATATAAAAATTGTAAGTAAAAGTCGACTTAGTGGGCATCCTTGTCTCAGCCCCCTCTCTGTTCTTGATTCTTCCATTATCCTTAATCCCTCAATATTATTTATCAGCTTCTGACTTATTCCTTTATTGCTTATATATTTCCACAGCTTCTCTCTGGATACCTTATCAAATGCTGTTTTCAGATCCACAAATGAAATAAATATTTTACCAGTTTTCTTCGTTATTACTGTTTTTAGAATTTATTTGTTTGTTGTGCAGCGTCTTCCCTTTCTGAACCCTGCCTGCATTTCCGGGATTATCTCTAGCCTTTCTGTTTCTTCTCTAAGGTTAGCCACAAGAATATATGCGTACATCTAATATGCTGTGTCTAATAGTTCGCTCCCCTATAGTTTACCGTGCCTTTCTTATGCCCTTTTTTGAAGATTGGGCATTGTCTACACATCGTGGTCGACAGATCGGCCCAACCACCAGCAGTATTGGGCAAATCGTGGTTTGAATTAGTGTTGCGGATGAGACGAGATCACGGTTTGCATTGGATTGTAAATTTTCAATACAGATCATCTTAGTTGCTTAGTTAAAGAATAGTGTTGCGAAAAATCAGATCGTGTTTCTTTTGAGATTGTTTTTATATTTCACAATAGTGTTGCGATAATGATTGAGCGCGATTGAAGTTATTATTTTTTTAATTAGTGTTGCGATACAGGTTGGTCGCGTTTGGCTTAGTCTTGCGATCTATCGGATGCCTAAAACCATTCTGGCACCATCGGAACCACAAAGCAGAAGTGTTTCGTATTATGAGACCAAGGTGCACGGGAGTTTTTTCATTAGATATTTAGTAAATTAGTGTAGCGAACAACAAGCACCTCTCATGTTTTAACATTCTCCTGACAATTTATTAATGTTAAACGATTAATGTTGCCCACCTTAAGAGTGATATTTTTTTTAGTGAACTTCCCAGATATCACATGATGCCTTGAAGACGCCCATTATACGGCTATTTTAGGTCTAAGGCCTCTTTAAGCCGTCTTTAAGACGTCATGTGCTATCTGGGTTTCTGTTTCAGGAATCGTCGTGGGATTAAATTTCTATTCTATCAAAATAAATTATTTATAAAACCGTATTATTGTACCCTTTTATACTTACTGCATGTTAACACATTTTTTGAGTGTCCGTCTCGCTAATTTAAACTTACGTCTAGGTCTGAAGATATCTCTGCGTGTAAAGATCATCTCAACATTTGTTTTTCTTTGAAGATCATGAGAATATTTTTGTTCGTCCGAAGATCACATGGAAATTTCTCCTTACGTGACGATCATCGTTAGGCCGTGCGGACTTAAAAAATCACTCGTTTCGTTGCACATGCGTTAACCGAATGGTAAGCGGTGTTAGTGCGAGGGGCTGATCTGCAGTCAAAGTAGCCTTCTCGCAATAAATCGTGACCATCGGTATGACGCTCGATAAAGTATTGCAAAATACCAAGCTATTATTGATTCACTTTCCTCGTGAATTCTCTATACAGACTTAATATACGGTGCTAAAGCGTGTATATTAAGACTCTTTACCGATCCCCTCTGGATCTGCGGGAATTCAGACATAGGTCGCGTTTTTCCTTTGCCTGGCGTAGCTGAATAGGTATATTTGGATGAAAGATATTCGTGTTGCACCCGTTAATCGCTACCCAGGAGGGTAGTGCCCTACACCGCAGGCAAGAGTTACGGTCTCGACTTATTCCCTCGCAGATCGGTGTCCATTATTGGCTCTGGCACACTTGGGAGGGTCGCTTGGTCTTTAACCCGTCGAGTCAATCATCAAATAACCATGGGGGGCTTTAGGTTTTTGAAGGCACGGCTTGCATCGCGACCTCTTAATATTATTTTGCTCAGTCACATGTTCATATGCATATCTAGTAGTGTAGTTTATACTTATGTAATAACAGTGTGGTATTGGGTGCGTAAACGACATGATCAGTGGTAGTTCTACCCTGTAGTCAGATCCCGATCATCTCGTTCGTTTGAGTATTTGTATCTGCGTTGCATTTGGTTGAAGTTGTTGCGTGGGAATGACATGAGGGTATTCAGACTTAAGTTTCTTATGATACAGCTGATTGTAACATATTGATAGATGTGCAACTTGTGATTCCGTCGATCTTTCTGTTCGGATTCGTGATCTGGATGAGACACTCTATAAGGATCTCCTAGTGGATATTGCAGACCAAAATTCGTGTTGAATAGTGTTATAGGATTAGGTCGGCAGGTAGCTTACTTTCCTGTGTGTGCGGAGTCTAAGTGTAAGTAAGCAGGGGCCGGGGCAGGCCCGGGATTAAGACTGTTAGAGGTCTGGGACTATCGAACCTTCGAGGGCCGCTTTGGTTCAAAAGCGGACGTTCAGGGTGGTGGGAGGGTATGCTGTACGTTATTTGTAACTTTCATTTTTTTCGAATGCAACGTTATATTCTAGAAATAGGTGTGACAATTTGTCGTTAACAGGTGCGAGCGTGTTAATTTTTAAATACTAATACGTTATTCGAAAAAATATTGGTTCTTGATTAGTCCAAAAACAATAACACCTGAGAGGTTACCTTACATCACCTTTATATAGGTAGATAGATCATTGAATGAGCGAAATGAAAGATCTTTGTTATGGTTTTGTTTTTTATAGTCTTCTGACGGCACGTGAAAAACACGTGGTACGTACGGATTACCCTTATTATAATGACGTATTGTTTTGTTGATGATTTTATTAGTTCTTTGGCTAATTCAACTTACTTACTTTCGTACAAGGAACTATTATAACTTTAGCATGTCATGTACAGTTAGCATCAATAAAACTTTATTTAATATTGATATACATTGGACTTTACCTAATATATTTATAATCAATTATTTACAGGAGTCACTTTTTTCTCATAATTAATTAAAATAGGATTATTACAATAAACTATAAAGTGAATCAAACAACAATGAACCGGACGCGAAGAAACCAACGTGGTATGTTCCGCGGGATTGCGGGCACATTGCGAGTCTGATGGCAAGAAGTCACTTCCGGTTGAGCTGACTACATTCTGTGCACTTTCGCGTGGATGTGCACTACCCACATTATGTCGTGTTCTCGACTTTACCTCTGATAGGTATGGCACTTGACGCATATACGCGCGCGTCTCACGATAGTGCGTCTTCAGTTTCTGTTTCGCAGAACCGCGGGACTTGTGCGTGTAAATTCTCTAAATGTGACGCGCGCGCGATAGGTTCACTCTGATACTGGGCGGTGTCTAGAAACTTTATGTTTCTTTCTAGATAGTTTAGTCTGAAACCGTTCTGTTTGTTGTTCTGGTGGATCGAATGGATCTACCATGTAAAATATAACTCTTTATGGCGCGAGTTTTTATCAGAAGCTAGTTTCTGTGTCCTCAATGTTACTTTCAGGATAATAGATGTTACATGATTTTCTGTACATCAAATAGTAACAGCTTGCAGCATAAATGCAGATGTTGATAGCCATATTTTTCAGTGATACTTTGACTATCCTCGAGTTCCTTTGAACATGAATTGAATTTCCGTGAGTTCTTTTTAACAATAATCGTTTCTTTAGATAGAAATTCATAGGTTGCTAGAAGTCATTGTCCCATCCAGATACATCGTCAGGTGGTGGTGGATCTGAGTCTGGTGGATATTCATCAAAGTTTGTGGTGTCTGTGGCACCTTGGACACGTGGCATGATTGGAGGTTCGAGGGTTCTCGACCTTAAACCTTCCCAGTTGAAACCATCAAACCACCTAAATAGAAAAAATTATTGTTAAGACTCGTTCTTACGTAAACTGACAGCAATAATGTCACATTACAACTGATAGCTGATAATTTATTCATTGTATAGGTCAATAATAAAAAGGAATACTTACTTATGTTTCTGTATTTCGCTGATGCCACCCTTTTGGTAACCAAGACGCTCTGCTGGATTGTCCCTTTAAACAAATAAAATGATAGTATAAATACTTCTATCCTGATTTCACTTGCAATTGCTTATACAAAGTGATTTATTTTAATCTGTAAATAGTTAAATATAGGATGTACATTGGAGGTTGAAAGATGCACATATAAATTAACAGTACCACAAGGACAGTATGACAAGGATGCCTCAAGGACATTGATACTTATTATGTATACTTATTACTTATAATAAATATTAAGTATTATTATACTAATATAACTACAATTTATAATCGAATATTTAGTATTGTTAGGTATGAAAAAGTCTATTTTATGTTTTTATCAGAAACAAATAATATAAAAGAAAAGAAATAAAGAAATATTATATCTATATACAATATAAATCTATCAAATGCTGTTAATTATTAAAATGACATTAATTATGATTAAAGAAAAAATATATTTTTTTAATTTAAAGGAGGTAAGTGACTTTAAAATCCTACTTACTTACATCTATCTTTTTTCGATAATTTTCGACTATTTAAATAAAATTTCAAGATATATACGTTATTTAATCTAATATTAAAGTTTAAACAATACGTAGCAGATTCTATGTTTTACCTGCAAAGTTTTTTAATTAATGCTGTTGCGTTTCGTGTGATCGATCTCGGGAATTCTATGGCGTCGATTCCTTTCAGGATAATATTATAAGTTTTCATTGGATCGCCACCAGTGAACGGCGGTGTGCCAGTAAGAAGTTCGAACATGAGAACACCAAGAGACCAGTAATCAGCACTGATGTCGTGTCCTTTGTTCAAAATTACTTCCGGTGCAACGTATTCAGGGGTACCGCAGAAAGTCCACGTTTTTCTTCCGTGATCCAAACGCTTGGCGAAGCCAAAATCGACAAGTTTAACGTATCTTAAATGATATTCGAGATTATACGTATTATTTACATATCAAAATTATACACATTACGTAGGATTAAGTAATTTATCATTTGGTAGGGTATGATCGAAACGACCAGATGTTCTTCATTTTATTTTGTACTTTGTTCTTTCTGATGATTATACACAGTCTGTCTTCAATGTTTCGAAACAGAAATGAAATCAGCAGTTTGCCATAAAATGATGAAGCTCTTTATCATCAAATATTAAGAATAGCTTTCTTTTAAAAAGATATACTGTTCACAATAATTATAGAAACTCTGGAAATGGCTCGAATAATTTTAGCTTTAAAGAGTCATGAGTTTATACAACGTATTAGTTTCCACAGGTACGTATCTCACAGTTTGATCATCTATTGTACATATTCGTCTACTTCAACTACATCCAACTAATTCCTGTTACCCAAATTAGAAACGAACACAAAAAAACAATAATCATTTTAACAGTTTACAGGATTTCGACGACCACTTCTTCAGCCATCTTGTAAAAGAAATACCAGAACTATCTGCAATGTTCGAATAATTATTATGAAAAATATATCACTTCCGAAGGAACTACTTTCAATAATTGCTGATATAACAAGCGTGAATATCATACGAAAGTTTGATGTTTTAACTTCGATTTGGAAACATTTGAAACTCTCTGCTACATTAACAGTATTCGTTCCATGTTTCCACCATTCTCAGTCATTTTGACTAAGCAGAAGGTCGGATAGCTATTTGAAATTCAAACTGCACTGCCAGTATATTGAAGCCATAGTGCAGCGGTTTCCAATCTGGGATACGCGTATTCTCAGGGATACGAGCTAAATGTTCTACGGGTACGTGACAAAAATTGAAATAACAATTATATAAATAACAACAATTCTTTTAATATTAGAGTAAACAATTTAGGAAAATTGGCTGCCAAGTAGCGTGTGAGTCAAGAAAGGTTGGGAACCGCTGCTATAATGGATTAGTCATTAGTACACATAATTGTATACACATATTTCACGAAGCATCCTTACCCTTGCCCGTCGAGAAGAAGATTTTCCGGCTTGAGATCTCTGTAAATAATGTTTCGAGAATGAAGGTAATCAAACGCTTCCACAACGCACGCGGTGTAAAATCGCGTGGTGCCGTCGTCGAAATGCCCTTTGTCCCTGAGCACTGTCCACAGCTCGCCGCCAAGGCAAGCCTCCATCAGCATGTACAGATACTTTCTGTCCTTGAAGGTTTTGAACAGCTTCACGATAAAGTCGCAGTCAGCTTCGCCCATGATCCGTTTCTCGGACATGATATGTTGTTGCTGTCGCGTCTCGACGATTTGGGCTTTCTTCATTTGCTTCAGAGCGAAGGATCGCGTGCCGTCGCCGGCTATTTGAACTAATTCGACTCTTCCGAAACCACCCACGCCCAGGGTGGCTAATGGCCGAAGGTCTTGCAGCCTTAGGTCTCTGAATTCCTCGTTCAATCTGCATTAAAATATTATTCCGATGATGAAATGTTCTTTCATTTAATGGTTTCCTAACTACAATACCGATACTAATAAGCGAATACTGGTAAAATATGAATTCAGCGAACCGCCTTTGATGGCCTGACACATTTTTCTTCCGTATAGTTCGGAATATTTTGTGTGGCTTTTGTTCTGGATCAGGTCAATCTTATAATTCTTTTTTAGAGTATAATAAATTCTAAGAAATGTGTAAGTATATAACTGCAAATATTCTGGTCTGCGGCGAGTACAAGTTGAAAGGTCATCGTAATTTCAATCAAGGTCTTTTACTCCTAACGCTGGTTATAACTGGCAACCGTGAGAAACTACTTTAATTTAATTAATTAATTCGTTGCGCTACTTTAATTAAATGCAAGGATTAAAATAACGATAAAATTCAGAGTGGTAAAAAAAGGGTTAGGAACTTAAAGGATAGATATTACTCGTCAGATGGCGAAAAAAAGTCCTAATTAATATGGGTCGAAAAATTACTACTTTGAAAGTAGTCTATGAAAATGTCCTCTACCAATTTCCACACACCATTGTCATCTTTATCAGAGAATTACCATATTCAGGTTCCCAAAACGAGCAACCTACCTAACCAAGAACTACTCCCAGACCTATCCCCCGAGACCCATTTGCTAAACTTGTCCCTCCCGACCTATCCCCCCAGATCCATCCCCCAGACCTATTCTAGAACTAACCCACTCGTTTTAACGGACAAGAAACATTTTTTATAACTTTCAAATTATTGTTTTTGTGACTCATGTGTATTAGAACCTTTTTCCTCCACTTAACAAGTACTACTTACATCAAAGTTCTGAACCCTTTTTTTGTACGACCCAGTATAACTTTAAACGAAGATTGTTTTTGTACATGGAAAATTATTATTATTAATACGATGACTTGAAGCAGTACAGTAACTAAAGAGCGCATATGTATTGGGTTGCCACTGCAGAAAGGTGAATCTGTATATTTTCTAGAGTCGTTATAGTTATTGCATAACCATTGTCTGACACGTGACTGGTCTACGGCAGTCGAAATGTTGATCTTTGCGTTATTATAATTCGCAACGATTTGATAATCCTCGAGAAAACACTCTCGATCGTCTCCCCGTTTCCCAGGAGCTCGTAGAACGCCGCATTGTGCGAACTCGCGGTATTAATGGAAATTACTGGGACGTTTCAAGAAGAAGAAAAAAGCGAAACCGTTAACTTAATTACCGGACCATTAACACGGCCGTGTATCGTGTGGCACGTTTATTGCGGACTTACTCTGTGATCGTGCGCTCTATTCTTCCATCCTAGTGGCAAGCGTGAAACACAACAGACACGGGGATTTAACAAACGGTTTACGCGCGATTACGGTCGGGTATAATTAGCAGTAATGAGAGCCAACGCGCGGTTATTAGCAAACGACGCTTATACCGGCGCGATCGAATTACCATTCGCGAAAACAAGCAAGACGCTCACCTTCTGCCTTCCACCAACTCGTCTTTGTACCGCGTACGGATCTCGTCCAGGGATGAAATCAGCTGATTGAACGTCTCGCGGTCGATCACCAGACAGCTCACCCCTTCAGGATCGTCCGCGATGATGTTGGCCGTCCTCAGGTCGTCTCTGTGACAAAAATTTCAAATGTTTTTTGTTATAGGAAAACTATAATTGTCACATTATGAAACTAGTTATTCCGTCTGAAAAAACACTTATTCGTCTTTTTTATTCGAAAATCTCTAATAACGGATAATTATTGATTTATTCGTTACCCTCAAATAACGAATAATATTGATCTATTCGTTATTCGAAATAACTTTTGCCCAGCATTGGTGTATTCCAAAAGGAAAGAGTAAGATAACTAGGAATTACTAATTTAATCTAAATTTATCTACTATTTAATCTAATTTCTAGTTATATAGGTGACATACATAAGATGTTATAGATAATATAACAATAGAAACAAGATGATATAACATATTATAGATAATATAAACAATAGAAACAAAATATAAGATGCAATTATAATAGATGGTAATTGTATAAAACCGGATGTCATCTTAAGCCGCAAGGCAAGGACTATGAACAAATGAATAATAAAATAAGTGATTTTTTAAGTCTCTTTTTGTTTTAATCGTTTGATTGTGAAGAAGCGCGATCTCTGCGTTTCACCAAATTGACGGAGAATGTAATGTATCCCTCGCTTGATTTAGTAAAATTAAAATTGTTGTACATTACGTACACATTTATTAATTAATATTAATGTAATTTTTAGAAAAAGAATGTTGGAAATGTATACGATAATTGCTTGTGATATTTATATTCTCGAAAAGACTGCTCATTCTGCTGTAATTTTGGTGCTGTTCAAACGACATCCGCAATTAAACAGTTCAAATTACGTCATACATTTTCTTGAGATTATAATTAACAGTTTTAGCTGAGATTTACACAGTAACTTTCTTTTAATTCATTACTGAACTCTTCTCTGTGGAATGTAATTATTGGGTTGAATTACAAATAACCTTCTTTTTCCTTGTTTAAATTCACTTCGCATCAAGGCACTCTACAAATAACATCAATCAATTATACATTCCTCATCTCTATTAAACTCAACAATTTGTATTTAGTTTAAATATTTCCATTATTATTGTTATTCAGTTATTAGTGAATATACTTTCAAAGTTAATGATAAAGGGTTTTTATTTTATTATTCAACCCAATAGTTGTAGACACTTAACGTTATATTTTTAAGACTGCCAGACAAGTATTCACAAGAATATACAAAGCCAAAACACTTTTTTCAATATACATAATGGAAAATTTTAAACCAATATTTATCAGGTTAGTAATTTGTTCAACTCCTTTGAATCCCGTCAGTTCTAATTAAACTGTCTTCATTCAATGTTTCATTTTTAGGATGGAAAAAAAAATTGTCTACCCTATATGTCGCAGACAAAATACTTAATCGTATAACATAACGAGGAATTCCGACATTTTTTTTTATCACATAGCGATTATAAACATTTGGACGTTAATATCCGTAAAGGTTAACATAAATTTGTATACACAACAAATTGATATGCTTGGAAAATTCAATTCACATTACTTTAATGTAACATTAATATTATTATGAAACAAATTTGTATAAGAGTAAGAAAATTTGTATAAAAATTTGTGTGAATTGATAAAATTTGATATCCTTAGAAAATTCAATTTCAGTTAGTTTGATGATTTAATCAATCTTTGTATTATCTACGCGATAAATTCAGTATACAGTATTCCGTATTCAATAAATAAGTACATATTTCAAAAGCTAGGGCGTTAGTTTTTGATTTCTAAGTCATACTGAATGAAATTATGAAAGGATATTTACCCCTGGAGAGCCTTTTCACCAAAGAAGTCACCTTTGCCCAATGTCCTGATGTACTTGTCTTCTGGATTGTCCGGTTGCTTTATCGTTACACGTACTTGTCCTCTGCTTATAATGAAGAACGTGTCTCCCCTTGCCCCTTGCCTGATTATGTAGTCTCCGTTGTTGTAGAAAGTCTTCAGAAAACAATACAATCGAATTTGAACATATGTATAAAACGGTAAAATTCTTTAAGAGTAACAAATAGACTGTTGATGTTATACAATTATCGAAATATAAATGTGTAAGACACAATAAAACGATATTTTTATTTTATCCTTATTACAATGTACTGGTTATTATTTTTGTTCTTAATTGTAATAATATACGAAAAGAACTTTTTGAAGATAAGAATACCAGACACTAATTCGTTATTGTCGATATTTCAATATTACTTTTGAGGAGTTAACTACAGATTACAGATTTCATTCATGCATTTACGTCCTATGGACAAAAATAAAAATTTTTTACTACAAAAATTAATTTTTGATTTTATCTTATTTATTTATTAAAAAAAAATTCGATTTTATTTTACATTATTTTCTACTTTTATTGGAGAAGTATGTATTTTTCGATTTTAATTTTCGTAAAATTGTCTTCAAAAATGTTTTTTTTGCAAATAGTCAGAATCTAGTTATTGTAAACCTTACCTCTTCCAAGACGTCCGAAATTTTGATTAATGTCTCCTCGGGTAAATTTTTGAAGATAGGAACGCTGAAACGAAAAATTAATATTCGTATGTTATTCATTTCGAAATGATAGATTATGTAATATTAATTTCTAATTTGAACAATTTGTGAAGGATATGTATTTCATTGTGTAGATGATGTTTGATGATATGTAATAGAATGGAAACATTAGGATAAATTGAAACTCATTTCTGGTGCAACGGCAGAATTGAGATTTATTAATTTCGACTGCGATTAATGGGTCTTGTTTCATCGCACCCCATGAAGAAGACGACGTAAGAAAATAAGAGACTGGTGGAACCATCTATCTTGTCTATTATTTACACAGATGGCTTGCCCAGTGAGCATAAGCTAGCTATCCATTAGCTCGACCGTTGATTTATTGTGTTCACTGCCGATATATTGCTCATTTCTTATTGTTAGTTTGTTACTAAACGTAATTAAATTCTGTTTCAATAATAAAAAAAAAAGATGATTCATATATTATATTAGTTTAAGTATCAAATACTTAACACCAAATCCGTCAAAATAACGGATCACAAATTTCTGATTTTACAATTATTGGAATCATGAAGGTGTTTTTGTTGGAATTTATGTTAATTTGTTGTTTATTATACATTTTACATTATACTATATTATGTTTACATTATACTATACTATGTTTCCGAAAGTTATGTACAAGCGGGCATGAGGTGATTCAACGTACAAAAATAAGTCGAAAATATAGAATAACATGTTTTCATTTGAGACTTTGTTTTCGAGAAAATCGACGTTGGACATTAATCGGAAACGCGTGTATTCGTCACGGCAGTAAGTAGAAACGGAATACAATGAACAAAAGCGCTAGCGAAGTCCTATTCAAGCAGATTTTTTTGAAAACGATTTTTTTGAAAACGAACCATCGTAGAAAAGAATGTTATTCTACATTTTCGACTAATGTTTGCATGTAGAATCACATCCTTTCAGGTTATACCGTCATTATAAAAATTCCAAAGATACATGTGACATTTAATTTGAAAGTGGTGTAATAAAATGCAAAATAAACAAAAAAAAGTGAAATTATTAAGTGGATGTACCAATAAGTAATTCACTATAATTCCAGTATGCTTGCAATGCATTTAACATTCAGAATATCTTTCCAATGTTCAGTTCACTGAAAATGACAGAGAATAGTAGGAACAAATGACAAATATTGTTAAAATAGGATAGGTATTTGAGTTATTTCGAAAAGATTACAGAGTTTAACAAAAGCAGAAGATTACTAATTGGTACACCTCATACATCATGTTCAAAATAAACGATTTATATCGCTTATTTTCTACAACAATGACAAAATTCAAAATATCCAGTTTTTGAGTTACTACTATAGAAAAAGCGGCTGTCGTCTGTACTTTCTATAATTTCAATCGTGTAGGTGAGCTTCCAAAACTTACCACGTCAGGATAGTCAGTTTAATAGGATGTTCGTATAAAACAATAGCAATCGAAACATTCAAAATCGTTTTCTCTAAAATCGTGATTTTTAAGTTACGTTGTTGTTGCAGCAAATAAGCAACATGTAAGAAAATAATTTACCTCTTTAAGAAATCCGTGTACTCGGCCTGCCTCGAGAGGCCAGTCCTCATCATAATAGTCTGGAAGCATTGTCGGTCGATGGCCCATAACTGGCAATCTGAGGCCGCTGTTATCGTTGCTGTTCGCTTACAGTTGTAAAGGATCGCCAGCTCGCCGAGTACCTTTCCGGGTGCTAGGGTACTCATGTATTTGCCATCGCGTGACACTTCGACCTTACCCTCTGTAAAATTCCATTTCATGATTAGCGTATAGGTCAGCGAAACCACATTTTTGGAGAATTTAATATCAAGAATACGGTTCATTTTCACGTTTGACTGATGATGGAAGTGTGTTCGGTTCGTGGATAATAGAGATTTATGTAGTTTAGATACGTGAATCAAAATGATGTCTATTACAATTTATTTTAAGTTTTGAAAGTTTCTATTCTTTATTACGTTACGAAAATACCTGAAGGAACTTTACGTACTTTGCATTTACAGCGGGGACAAGTTAAGTTAAATCGTAACTTGTTACAATGGTCTTTATTTTCCGCTAGTATCGCTATAAACGTCTATGTTGGATACAATTAGATTGAAAATATTGGAACGAATTCAGAATCTTTTAAAATTGTTTGTATAAAATAGGAAAGAACGGAGATTTATTTCTTTCACATATATAAATAAATATTTGCATCACTCATGATTGTACAGTTAAAATCAGATGCAAGAAAATGTGTTTTTTAGGATAATTTATTCGGTTGTCTAATTGTTTTACAAGGAAATCAAAATAAATTACTCGCGGAGAAACAGTACAGTTGTTCGAACTTTCTTTTATGTGCATATTAAAAGTTTCGATAGGTTAAAAATTAATATTCTGTTGTAAAATTGTTATATAACTCAATAATGGTAACTAAAATAAAAATTGAATAAAATAAGGATGTTAATAGGGTTTTGTATTATAAATGTTACAGAAACATAAAATTTGATATTTGATTGAATAAAAAAATTGTATACACAATAAGTAAGAGTTGATGATGTTTAAAATAAACAAAGATAAAGGTATAACGTTTACTCGAAAGTTACTACGAATGACGAAGACTTTCATTTTTTCAGACTACTCAATCGTGTTACAGGTCGAACGACTGACATTTCCATTTTAACCAATTAGGTCAACGTCGTCGAAAGGATTTAATTGAAGCGTGACATTTATCTGAATCAGGAATCATGGAAAGTCTGTTCATAAGACAGCACTCTTCTAACATGTACATCAGTATTTTTAATTTTTGTTCTCTGAGTACAATGCCATTAACACCTTTTTTTCTGAATATGATCTGACAATATATTTTTAACAAAACACTGAATATCCTGATTGTAAGATAACGTCCGGTCTGACAAAAGTAAGTATTATTGTTTAATTACAATTTAAAAGATAAAATGCATTGACGATACCACCAAACATAAAGAGATACGTAAATAAAATCAAACTTATGGACCGAGCTAATTGCTTAAATTTAACACTAGAACTACCAGCATTGAATGTGTACTAAATTAAGTTGTATAGTACAATAATATACAGAATATATAAGACAATCTAGCATAATATACCATAAAATAAAATTTGTAATCAATTAAAAGCCGACATAAATCCGTCAAAAGCACCATTATAATTTTAATAATGGTAAAATAGTAAATCTGTAATCCTGCATTTTGACGGGCTTGGTAGTTCTAGTGTTAATATACGGTGCTCGAAATAATTAGAGGATCAAGTAAATAAATTAATTGTCGTTTGAAAGAGTAACAAGTACTATAGAGTCTTCGAAAAACGAAATAATTGAAGTATTCAACGAGAAACTTACTATATCAAATAAAGAGTATGTATTTCTTTTCTTCTGGAAGAGTTTTGGTCAGTATACAGTAATATTAACTAAGAATATTTTAGTAGTATCCCACCAAAAATGGCGTAGGATAGTGCCAAAAAATCACCAATATTCTGCAGGAATCACGTACCTTCGATTTTCTTGGAATTAGTATAATAAGTATTAATATTCGAAAAAATGGTGTGGTCAAAAAATTTCAGTGAATGATGCTGTAACTGTCAATGAGTATGCCACAGAAACATGTAATAAAAGACATGTAGATGACACCTGTCTAAGCAATGTAGCCACATTTCGAAAAGATATAGGTAAGACCTTAACTTTAATGTTAAATAACACGTAAATTATTTATCGTCTGCTCCCAAAACCGGATATCTTGAGCTTCAGTATTTCAAGGTCTGTCATTATGTATAGGCTCATTAAACAGTCAGCGTTGCACCTCGGGACCTTCCCTTGTAAGGCAGCATATGATACTGCTGCGATTGTTCAGACTTTTTTAGCCCAGAGAAGCTTGCAATGCTGCATTATCCATCCTATTCACTTGATTTGATTCCAATAGACTATTTTTCATTCCCAAAGCTAAAGTTATCACTGAAGGGTACAAGATTTGCTAGCATTCCAGACGTCCCAGCAAATGTGTTGACCTTACTTGCAGACGATACTTAAGGAGGACTTTCCCCAAAGCATTCGGCACCTGTATGATCGATGTCAGAAGTGTATTACGCCCGAAAGGGGATTATTTTGAAGAACAAGAAAGTGATTTTTCCGAATCGCCAATATAGTTCTTATTTTTTGAACCATTTACCGAATTTTTTTGAACATCGAGCACACAATCGCTCATAGGTAGCATTTTTAACACGAAAAATACAATAAAATGAAGGTTTTAATGGACTTCAATACTATTTGTGTTATTATTAACGTAGTGAAACCCTTAGTACAGAATCCGAAATTCTGGTCTGTTCTAATTTTTAGATATTACTGTCTGAAATTTCCATAAACGTTCTCCTTTACCTAAACAGGAAATGTGATGTTTCGTAAAAATCATCGAGCTTTAATAACCCCAGAACAATATTTAGTTCAGATTTCCAGCAATTTCGTAATGCCTTGTACACGTAACATTTAATCCATATTCGATAAGTGTCCTAAATACTTATGAGTAATAGATGGATCGGTAATTTGGTAAGTGTAGTCAAGGGAATTGCGTCAGGTGGATAAGTTTCGTAATAATCAACAGTTTTTGTTATACCGATGTATGTATGTGTGGACCGGATACAATGAACGTGTGCAGTTATCTCAGAGACCCAATCCCTTTCAGCACAATGGGCCTATTCATGAAACACATCCGGTACCTGTGCAGTTTTCTGTCCGCTTACGGTCAACGTGCACATTGTACGCGATTTCGCCCACGTTCTTGCTTCTTTGATCGAGCTGCTTACAGCACCGTTAATGACAGTAAATAGTTTGAATGTGAGCCACGTAATAGTTTTTTTTTAGAATCATGGAATGAGAGTAACGAGAGTTTTTCCAGTGAGATTGTTATCTTACCTTTATAAGTATTGTCACGTTACGGTAACTATTTAATTGCCTGACATAATGAGGAATAAAATGTTTTACAAATGTGCATTTTTTTAGACGGACAACAAAAGTAGCGAATTTACCACGATGGAGTGAAGGGTTTTAACGTTGATTTGGAAGTTGAATTTTTGTATTATTCAAGTCAAGAAGTGTTAGAGTGATTTTATCACTAACACGTATTGAAATAAAGATTTCACTGAAGCTTGATGCTATTTTTGTGTTATCTACATTTAAAATATTTAGTGCAGGAAATAAAATTTCGTCTGTTTTTTATTTTTATGTGTTAACATGTATAAAACTACGAGTTTGCACAAAGTTCTATAAACTGAAAAGTCGATAAGTTTTGGTGACATTCATTCATTTTATTTCTGATAAAGTTTGACTTGAAACTAAATTCGAATTTTTTACACCATTTCGTACTACAGAATCTATACATAATAATTTAGTTAATTTTGTATTATCTTTTAATGTAAAAATTCTACATATTTCTACTGGATATTTCTAGGTATTACACCCAGGGTGGAAATTCCATTCTGGATATTTCCACCCTCTGTATGTATTAGGGTAGTTCTGGGGTCTTCTATAAACCAAAGCCAGTTACTAAGAGTTTCAACCATCACTTACGTATATTACAGTTAAAGTTGTTGCAACCGACTGGAATTTCCATCAAAATGATGATTTTCATTCTTCGTCTACTTTTCTAGGGTAAACATAGTCGCCAAAGCTAATCTTCTCCGGCTGCTTTCTACACATGTGTCACGGGGAACCATGTACACGAGATAGAAAGTGCAACAAGTGAGTGTATCGGAGAAAATCTACGAATCGATTAACTAACGGCGTGCTGTCATGTCGCGATTCCGCGAAAAGATATTCGCTCGTGACGATCATCCTCTCCAATGGAAACGGGCTCGACCTCATCCCCCGTTCGTTATACTCGCGCGCGAGTCTTTTCCTGGGATAACGTCTATGTATAAGTGCTCGCAGAAATACTGTCGGGAAGAGACGGATAATTGGTGAATGAAAGCGATTAGCCTGCTGCAACTGGCATAAATATCTGTCGGTAGATAAATTTTCATCTGGCACGTAATACGTTCGCGGAAGAGCTGTTCATCGGTGAAAGCAAATTCTTTTTTTTCACCGTAGACTAACACTCCTGCCCCCGCTGTGGACATTATGTATCGTCGTTCGTATGGTACAGTTGCGAAACTGACATTTTTTTCGCGAATCTGAGTTGAACGCGAGATTTTATTCGTTTCTCATTATTTATGTAACTTAGAAGAGAACATCCCTAGAGCGAAATTTCTTTCGTTCAAACTGGCACGAATTTATAAAGAATTAAAAACTATTCAACAGGTATTTTTTTGTTTTTGCTAAAAAAACGGTTTGATGGGCTGAAACAGACCCTTAAAGTTCGTCACACGAAACATACTTGTTTCAATTACATTAATTAATATTTTGTAAAAAATAGATTAAATTTTCACAATTTTGAATATATAGTTGAACGTTGAAAACATAAGTGCAAATGTTCATTATTATATGTAAATAATTCATCTTACTTTTTTAAGCATGTTTCAAGCAAATCATGCAACGCTTTAATAGATAATACGATACATGAACGGTATTTGAAAGTGCAATTAAGACGATATTCAGGAATGACCAGAAACACGTAAAGATAATTTAATTTACAAACCAATTTCTTCGGAAGTATGTGTAATAGGAATCAAGTCTGGTAATTTTGAAGACGAAAGCAACTGGTACATACATCGGATAAAAAAACGTACTTTCACTCTCAC